AGAGTGTGCAGCATTAAAGAAACACCCTACAGCTCACTCGGTCGACCAGCCTGGATAAAAGAGAGTCCAGTATGACATGGCATACTGCAGAACTCACTTGCCCCATAGTTTAGACTGTATGTAGAGTAGTGTTAATCTTGTTTTCCTCTATCATAGAAGTGGCATTTTGTGTGTGTGTGTACGGTTTAAAAAACAAACACACACCCAAAACAAAACAAAAAAAATGAACACTGGTCCAAAAGGAAAACTAGTACCTTCCAAATGCAATGTAACCAAGCCAAAACTGGCACTTACTTGGTAATGCAAGAAGACTAACGTACGTATGCAGCTTCTCAAAGACTGCAGTCAACCTCTTCATGTCTCTGTGGAGCTCCATATTTCTAGTTCTTAAAGCAGCTGTGCAAAGAGAAGACTCACACTCTTCTTCCAAACTAGGAATATATGAATTATTTTTTTAAAAAGTGAGCAATTATCTTACAAAAACAAGTTTGTGAGTTTTGGAGCAGATGAGTATTCTCTACATCCCCAGCCCAAAGCAACAACTGACTAGGATTTTATGTTAGAAAGGTTAACGTATCAGAGTAACTTAGCAATACATGAAAATTACGGTGTGCATGTACTATTCCCGCTCTTAGGAGCCTCAGTCACAAGCCAGGAACAGCTTACACCCACAGCAAGGAACGGATTGCATCAGTTTAAAGACTTTTTCCTCTACTACAATAATTTATCTTTTGCTTCTTAAGGAGCAGAAGAGGTACAATGAAGGCACAAAAAAAGCTTTTTCTTCTTCCTTAATCCAAAAACTCTTTTTAAGCAGTCCTTTGCACTAATAATTCACCTCCCTTTGATCCACTTGGGAACAAAGATTTTCACTGCAGAAGGAATGTGCATCTGGCCAAGTTTTACTACATTGCTATATTTACTGCATAATAAATAATTTATTGAGCCTGTCTGAAGATTAACAGTTTTGGTGTATCATACCTGAATAGTATCAGTGCTATAAAGTAACATTCAGAAACATTAAAATTCTGTGCAGCTGTCATTAAAGTCTGATCCGTGAGGGAGAAAAAAAGGCTTTAAAAAAACATGTTTTTAGCGCTAATACCCAGCTGAAAAAAAACATGCATAACCTAACCTAGTGACCTTCTATGATGGAGTGACTACATCAGTGGACAAGGGAAGAGCTACCAGTGTCGTCTATCTGGACTTCTGTAAGGCCTGTGACATGGTCCCCCACAACATCCTTCTCTCTAAATTGGAGAGTGATGGATTTGATGGGTGGACTCTTGGGTGGATGAGGAATTGGTTGGATGGTCGCATCCAGAAGGTAGCGGTCAACAGCTCAATGTCCAGATGGAGATCGGTGACAAGTGGTGTCCATCAGGGGTCTGTATTTGGACCAGCACTCTTTAATATCTTCATCAATGACACAGACATTGGGATCGAGGGCACCCTCAGCAAGTTTGCAGAAGACACCAAGCTGAGTGGTGTGGTTAACACGCCTGAGGGACAAGATGCCATCCAGAGGGACCTGGACAAGATCCAGGAATGGGACCCATGTGAACCTCATGAGGTTCAACAA